GTCACAATACCGAGTCGATATCTAGACATCGGATCAGGTTCAGTCTGAGTTTCGGTGGCTAGGGGGATTCTTAGGTGCGCTTTTCCTACTGCACATGAAGTGAACCAAAGAAATATCGATTCATGTCGTTTCGTATGCCCCAGGAAAGAATGCGCGATCGGACCCTCGAAGTTTCCCTCGAAGTTTGCCGGTTGGGATTACTGGTCGTGAGTACCTTTCGTAATATACTACTAGCCACTAAGACAACAACCAGCAAGGGTTTGCTGTGGCATGTGGTCGGAAAGCTCTTCGCAATAATCTCCCGTGTCTTTGATGATGTTCTATAATTAAATTGCACTTCCACCGGCTTGGAGCCACGTGAGCTCAAACGTGGTTCATTCAGTCAATAGTCGCCTCCTTTATATCAAAGAGTAGGGCGGTTTTGACTGAGTTGCAACCCGTTCTTGTAGGAAAACAACATGACTCGACGCCTTCTTCAACTTGAAACAATGCATACGCAGCATGTCGACGGTGCATACAGCTTTTTAAGTGTAGCTTACGGGTCCAGGCCGCGGTTGATGGGTCTCCGCAAACGCACCCAACAATCCGCGGGAATCCAACTACAAATATCCGACATATCGCTGAAAACAGCCACTTTCGGGGAAAATTAACCGGGTCTTCTATGTCGATGTGCGGTAGTTTGATGAAGGTATTAACAGGATTATCCAGAACATATCCACATATAGCAGCCTTTTATGTACATGTCGTACTAGTTCACAAGTCTTGATTATGATATGAATCTTTATGCTTCTAGACTACGGGTCCGTATGTAGCGTGCACCTCTTTCCAAAGCTCCGGGCTGAATTCGTGCTCCTTCACAAATTCGTTGTTGCTCTTCTTCCCCGGCACCTCCACAAACCTCAGCCCTAAACCCTTCTCGAGGATTGCCTTTACCACGTTGCGTTTCAATGCCTCGGTCATCATCGGACGGCCGTTCTCGTCTCGTTTCACCTTCTGTTTGATCTCGTATCGAAGCTTTGCAGTGTAGAGGTTTGGCTCGATCAGCTTGGAGTAGGCAGCTTGAAGGTTTTTTTCTGATACGTGGTAAGCAGCTCCGAGTTGCAGACGGTCGAAATTTCCGGGGTCGATCTGGAGCATCTCTGCGAGCAGGCGGTATGCAAACACGACGCGGTGCTTGGCTTGGTCGCGAATCTTTAGGTAGTCTTTCGTGGGGAGGACATCGTTTGCCTCGCTGAGCTCGTTTTCCCATTCAGCTTGGACGTCTATGTACGCAGACCGTTGGAACCTGGAAAGAGGGCCTGGAGTTATCAAGGACTAGCGAGTCTCATCACAAGCAAACCGCTGTGCTCTCAATCACGTTGTATGCAGATAGGTCATCATTGGCCTGTGTGATAAACCATCGATGACTATCATGGAAAAAAGAAGGAAAGAAGGGAAAAACTTCCACCTGCGGTAGTTCAGGTACATGCGCTTGGCCGTCTCGTTGCAGTAGGTAGTGAGAAATGTGTGGTTGATCTGTTTGTAGTTCACTTTGTAGACTTCGTTTGCATAATGGTAGATGTCCACCTGCTTTTGCTCGAGCTCGCTCACGCCTTTCAGTTTCCTCCTTTTTTCCTTTATCTTGTAGTATTCCGTCGGCGAGATACAATAGGCTTCTCGCCACTGGTCGTCTGACAGGCTCGCATCGGGATCTAAATCGCCGCTACGCTCCGGTCCACCCTGCTCATCGGCATCATCCAGCGGCTCCGCCAGTCTGTTCACCACTCGAAAACCCTGCTGTTCGAGATCCTTTGTCAAGATGCCGACGTAGTTTGTGATGCTCTGGTACCTCGCCAGGACATTGTTGGCATACACAATGCAGGTTGCAGACTCCCGATCGCAGACGGGCCGCTTGCCCGGCCTCTCCAAGAAGTCAAGCACCTCAGAGGGTTTCACCAGAGCGTGCAACTCGGCGTCTTGCCGTTCGATTGCTCTGAACACGCCCTCTTTGGTAGAGGGCACGAACTTTGGCGCTGGAATTTCCATGTAGTAGATGTCGATATCTCCCCCATCTCGCACCCGCTGTAACATCTGGGTGAAGGTGAAAACATCGGGGCCGTCGTTTGGGCGGTTCAGCGCGATTCCCACGCCCCGGTGGTAGTGTTGGGCCTCTTGCGAGACTCCCGGCCCTATGGTCGGAGAGTATCCCATACAGTGGGCCACCATGTAGCGGTCTGGGTCAGCCACTGCCTGTCGGAGCTGCTCTTTGTCCTCTGCTGAGGTTTTTCCGCCGTGGAAGGTGAGAAGAGTCTTGTCCGTGCCAGTGAAAATTGCACCGAATGCCCTCTCGAGTTGCTCGATGAAGGTTCTGCTCGTCGAGGCGACCTGCAAGTTTCATAAGGTACGTCGACCATCAGATCGAGAGAAGGAGGAGAGTCGCCTATGGCATCGATCCTAGGCCTCTGATAAGGAGCCAGTCAAGCACAAGCATCACCAGCTTTCAAGCGGACACCAGTCCAACTCTCTTTATCACAACAAATCTTTGATTGCATACAATCGTTCATGAATTCCGACGAGCTGGAGGTACATCGCGGACGCTTCGAACTGCGGCTGCAATGACCCACTGGTAGAATTAACGGCCATCAGGATCACGGCTGACAAAACTCACCCAGATGTTCTGACCAGCCTCCACCTCGTCGAGAATCTGGTTGATGATCGGAGCAAAGCGGTCCTCCAACTTCCCAGAGGAGGGCATAGGCCAGATAGTAGCTGTTCGCTCCGAGGCGCGAACTCCCGTGTTCCAAATGGCGTGCATCAGAGCGTTTGGGCGGACCGCTTGAAGCCACTCGGTTACGCGCGGACTGTCCACATTCGCATCCAGCCCCACGACGATGCGTGCGACCCGAAGCATTGCGTGCAGAGCCATAAACACCGATCTGCGGTCCCTCATAACGTCGGAGTTTAGATTGCCCAGCGTCATGTCGATCTCGTCCATGTAGACGATGTCTTTGTCAAGGGAGTTCAGTCGGGGCAAGGAGTTGATGCAGATGACGATTCTCTCGTCTTCAATATACGAGGGCTCGACATCGGAGTAGAGCACGAAGTCCGTCAGCCCCGCTCGATGGAGCTCCTCCAGGTGCTTGTCAGCCAGCGCCACGTTGCCAGCGATGACGACGCAACTGGCAGATGGGTTCTTCTCGAGCATCTCCACTAGATAGGCAGTACCGGCCTTCGACTTCCCGACCCCCTTGTTCGCTTTCACCAGAAGCGTCCGCAGGGTTTCCGAGTGGATCTTGACCGTGGGATAGGGTCGCATTTCAGTCGGCAGCGAGTAATTCCTCGGTCCAACAGAGGGACGTCTCGAGAGAGCAGAGGCGCTCGATGCCTCTGCATCAAGGTAAGCACGACTTCTTGAATGTACATAGCCAGTCTTCACGATGTGGTCCGGTTCCATCATGAGTCGAGGTCGTTTCTGACTAACCGCATAACGTGGCAATCTGGTGGAGAGGCGACAAAGACGAGGACGCAATCTCGACTTGATATAATGGGCGAGGCCACAATCAACCAACAAGCCCACAGTCAAAAGGGATCGGTCTTCATTATAGAAGAAGGGGTCGCTTTTTGACTGGATCAGATGAAGTCGCAACTCGTTGACGAGACAGCAACGGAAGAGGTCGGCCTTTGATCTGGCGCCCCGCTTTTCCTTTTTCCCAGGTCTTCTTGCGGCATGGTTTTGGAACACGGAGGCGTTGCATATGAGGTTTCTGACTTGATCGCTATGATCTCTAGAGTTTGTGAAAGGCCAGACCAGCGCCGGCATAGAAACGAGAACCGCTCATAAACTTACTGGCAGCTCGGTGAGAAGCACTTGTAGGCCGCCTCGGCTGGTCGTCGCCGACGGTAGACGAGATACTGTCCGTTGCCCTCGCTGGTATGCGTTCGCCCCGCAATGCAACAGGTCCGACTTTCCGGAGGGCTGCAGATGTGGACGCAGAAAACCCCTGGGCATGGTTGCTCGATCCGCCCTAGCATAGCCCCGGGATGATCCTGCTGACAGCACCTGAGCAGGCGCGCTCTCTCCTCCGGGCCGAGGTCCCGTTCCAGTGGTTCATGCTGCTTAGAGGAATATCGTACGGGGATCTGCCGATCGCTGACACGGCCCTGCGCCGCGCGACTCGATGCGCCACCCCCTCCAGCCGCTGCGTTGTACTCTTGCAGCGGTCGGACGTCGATCTTGTGCGCGCGCGCCAGTTCTTGCTCATCGCGAACACCGATGAGGTGGTCGGAAACTCGCTCTGAGCTACTCTCGTCCGGGCAGAGGATGCGCGTGCTTCCGAGTTTGCTTGAGCGGAGCGTGCGCCAGTTTGGGTTCCTCGAGTAGACGGAATCATCCGAGATTTGTTCTCTCTTCCCGCTGTCGGGCTTCATGTATCCAATGAACTCCGCGCTGCGTGCCAGCTCCGCCGGGGGGTGGTCCAAGAAGTGGCTGAAGGCCGATTTGAATTCAGTACGCGCCTCCAGATCCGAGAAGGAGACTCCCTTCCAAACCTCGTGAACGCTGCACTTGTAAAGACCGTGGGAAAGGGCTCCATGGGATGCAGCAACTTCAAGGGGCTGGAGTAGACCAGGAGGAAGCTGCATGATGTGGGTGCAGAAGTGCTCGAGGAGGTGGTGGAGATGCTGGCGCCTCTCGAGAAAGTCTTGTGGATCGTCGGCACGCGACGTATAGTCGAGGTCCGAGTAGAGCCAAGAAGCATCTGAAGCGAGCAAGATCTCGTGCAAGTGCGGCGTTCGGCAGTCGGCGGCCATCCTCGCAGTGTACTCCTCGAAGGTTTGTGTGCTCTTGAACGCGGTGTACATCTTGGACCCTCCGGTTTTATCGTCGCGCGACGCAATGAAAGCGCCCGGTGGCATCAAGCTCTCCTGGAAGGCGGCTTGTGCAGGTGCAAACCGGAAGTACCATGTCTGACCCCATTCGTCCACCTCGGAGGTCACCTCCTGAAGACAAAAGCCACACAACATTTCACTATTCCATACTTCTGCACCGTTTTCGAGCGGTTTCTCACGATGAGCCCTTAGCCTGCGGAAACACGTATAAGCTCAAACGAGTTTGTCTCTAAACCAGACCTCCATGTTGCTCTCGATTGTGGGCGAATAAGCTTGACTTTGCAAAAGGTTGCCCTCGATTCACTACTAGTGCCGTTCAAGGATCGAGTGCCGTTCTGCAGGTGAGAGCTAAAAACTCCAACGAGGCAACCAGTCAAAAGGCGCCTATCGTTTTCTAGAGAGAAAGGGGGCCACTCTAACTGCAGCGGCAGCGAGCCGGATGCTCGAGAGGGGCCAGTCAAAAGGCGCCCATCGTTTCCTAGAAGAAAGAAGGGCCGTTCTGTCTCCGGCCCTTTTTCTGACTGTGGCAGGCCGGATGTTCGAGAGAGGCGATTCAAAAGGTGCCCATCATTTCTTAGAAGAAGGGAGGGCCGTTCTGACTCCGGCAGGCCGGATTTTCGAGAGAGGCCAGTCAAAAGGCGACCCTCATTGTTTAGAGGAAGGGAGGGCCGTTCTGACT